CAGGCCTTTTGATCTTTTGCCTAGATTTTTAAAAAGTAACTGTTTTGGGCCGGTTGCAGTGGCTCACACCTATAATTCCAGCACTTTGGGAGGCCAAGGTGAGGGATTGTCTGAGCCCACGGGTTCAAGACCAGCCTGGGCAACTTGGCGAGCTCTCATCTCTATAAAAATCAAGAAAAATTAGCCGGGTGTGGTGCTGTGTGCCTGTAGTCCCAGTTACTTGGAAGGCTGAGGCAGAAGGATCACCTGAGCCCAGCAGGTTGAGGTTACGGTGGCCATGAGCATACCACTGCACTCCAGCCTGGGTGACAGAGTGAGACTCCAATTCAAAAAAAATTAAAATTAAAAAAACTGTTTCACTGGTCTTTCAATCTGCAACCTATACTTCTCCTCAATCCATCCTCCACACTGCCAAAAATTCTTTAAAACTCAAATTTGATTATATAATTCCTCTGCTTTTAAACCATTTGATGGGAGTGCCTTGGTTGCAAGATTAGGTCTAAAAGTGTACACAATCTGGACCCCACCTCGATTTCTAACTAGATCCCCTCCAGCTCTAACTGCCACCATCCTTCCCACCCTCAGGAGCCTTGGACCTCAGACAGGCAGACTCTGTGTTGCTCTCTCTTCTAGGAATGTCTCCTCATTCAACAGTTAGGAAGTCACTAGTAAAAAGACAAGGAAGTGAGCAAAAGAAAGGAATTAAAAGCTTTACTAAAACAGCACAAAGATGGGCTCATATCTGGGTGGTCCACAAATATCAAATGAATGAATGAATGAATTGCTGACCATGAAGTCCAGGCTGGAGAGGCAGACAAGTGAAAACAGATGAACTATGAGAACAGCTCTGAATATTTTCCTGTTACACCCTTTTTCTATTCCCCTGCTTTCTTTCAGATCTCCATGTTTATGTTTCTCTTAATTTACAAACTACTATAACACTACCTCAGATGCATTTAACCATGCCGTGCATAATTTATTTATTCATTCCTCATAAATCAAGCCCTCTAGCCATCTGGAAAACAAGAATCACTTTTACTGCCTTTGAAGCCCCAACTAATCTTTTTAGTACGTGCTATTTTGCCGGGTACAAAATGTAGTATTTTATGCAGTTTCACCACCATATATCAAGGACTTTGTGATCTTTTTTTCTGTTGTTGTCTTTATTAGGAAACCCCATGTGAAACCATCATATAAAGTAAGAACAATTAGAAAGCAAAGCTCTAAAAAAAAATTAGTTGGGAATGGTGGAGCACACCTGTAGTTCCAGCTACTCGGAAGGCTGAGGCGGAAGGATCGCCTGAGCCCAGCAGG